AAATTAAATTAAATTAAATTAAATTAAATTAAATTAGCAAAGTATTTACATTGTTTTTACCTGTCTCTTTTATAGAACAAAACCATTCTTTATCTGCAAAACATAAAATCTCGCATTTTTCACATTGAACTTAACATAAAAATATGTCATAAAGAAACCTAAAACCTACAAACAGTAACAATTTGTGCACACTTGCCTCATTTTCACTTCTGTTTTGGCAGAGCCCCTCCTTGTTAACAGTGCTTTATCAAAAACAGAAGAACCTTTTTTTATTTTTTCTAAAGGAATATGTGATGTGATTTAACCCACGTAAAATCTTGGATAAACTTACACGTTGCTTCTACTGATGTAGTTTAATGTTAGTTTGCAGGCATGTCTGGCTCGCGCTAGCTTGCTTCTTCTCCCTGTTTCAGACGTGAGTGTTTGATTAGAAGGGGTCATTGCATTTATTCTGACACATCATGTCAATCGTGCTGAAAAACCTTACAGAAAACTTGTTCTTCAGATTCATGAAAATCGCAATTGCTGGGGTATTACCCTGTCCAAAACTTTACATACAGTATACAGTACATACATATACATTTGTCTGTGTGAAAAGGAGAGCCCTCCTGACTGCATAACCAACTAATGGCAGGTACAGGGTACAACAATGGCCAAAATACCTCAGAATMTTTAATTACTTACCCAAATGATTGAATTTTTGAGATTCTGCTGTTTGTACTGGATTCCATTTTGTTTGTTAAATTCCATGTTTTCTGCATCATGAAAATCAAAGGGCCCTTGCTCTACTTGCTTTAAAGGGGACCTATTATGCAAAATTCACTTTTTAAAGTTTTTTTTTTACTCAACTTTGGGTATGTACTTCTTAAAAAACAGTCCTAGGACCAAAAAAATGCACCCAGGGGCATACTGTCAGTAAATTTATTTTTAATGTATATTAACGACAAGTTTTATACTTCCATCATTTTGTGATGTCACAAGCCRTACGACAACCCACCGGAACCTGCGTTCAGCCCCTTACCTAGCAACCCCCGGGTGACGCTCCTCCTCCTCAGTATAAAAAGCTGTCACCATGTTGTTGTGCAATGCGCAGCTCATATCACAACAAGCCTCCAATAGGACAATGGGTAGAGTGTTGGACCAGAGAGTGGGAGACCAGGGTTTGTGACTAGCACGGAKACAATTTTTTTTTCATTCGTTATGAACACGTTTTCTCATGTACCTCTATTGTGTAGCTTATTAAAACCTTGTTAAAGCCTATTTGTTCGAGTTTCTGAGGTATTTTCACYGCTGCTGCTCCCTGCTCTGGTAACAGCATGCAGAGTGAGCGCAGAGCAGAGGATGGAGAGAAAAAAGAAGAAGCTGCGACCATGRCTCTACCTCTGGGTCTCATGGTTGTACAACGGAGTTTCTGCTATTATTAGCCATTCCAACATAAACGCTGGCTTTGGAGGGCGGCGTTAATGTCAGAAGATTTTTGGAGGGCGTTACCAACAGAGCTCATTAACATAAACAGCTCTTCTGAACAGAAGTCAGAGCAGGCAGAGCTAGAAAATGGGAAATTTTATTATCTGAGAATTATTTTGTGCAGTAAATTGAATGAACATGGTCTGGACAGCCCACAGACATACCATAAAAAATTCTAGGACCCATAATTGGTCTCCTTTAAGTGAAGTTAGTCAGTGTGGACAATCATTAAGTATGAAGCTAACATATGATCGGAGATGCRTGTTGTGTTTGTGTTCAGACTGTTTTAACATTGAACAGCCTCTTTGGTGCATCCATTTTTGCACTGCAAACCCACTGATTTAAACCACTGTTTTAATTTGTTTCTGGTCTGTTTAAAATACTCTGCCTCTGTTTTCTAAGAGGTTGCAGTTGCAAGTTGAACAAGGACGTAGGCTGTGATCAGCTACAAGAAAAGCTGGTGTAAAATATTTGTTGTCAGCTTGAAAATAAAAGATTAGAAGCAAGCTTCTAAAACCTTTTTTTCTCACTTCTTTCTATTTACATGTAGCTCTGTTGCCACTCATTGGGCCTCATGCAAGAWCATGCTTATCCTAAATTTCTCTTACTTTTGTTCGTACGAAGGGTTCRTATAAACATTCCACGTCTGATTCAACAAATTCTTCTATCTTCAGGAAAAGTGTGTAAATGAGTTGCGTAAACTGATGAATGTGCATCAGCTGCTCCTGCACGAGGACAGGTGATTAGCATAATTACCACCCCAAAAACACCATATAAGGCTACGTTTTGTGCCACACATACCAGGAAGTGTCCATTCATAAATGACATTGCAAAGTAAAAAATAAGTACTTTACGAGTTCGGAGATTGAAGTCCTGCTCTCAGAGATCCAGGAAAAAAAAGGTAATTTTTAACAGCGTCAGACCTGCTAAAGCCGGGGAATGAAATGACGACTGCTGTTAATGTTGTGTCTCCTGTGGGTCGTATACAGTCACAGAAATAAAAATCTAAGTCATATTTATCTCTCTCTAGTCCTGCTCCGGTTTTTCTTTGGTCAAAAATTTTTAATTCAAGTATAAACAACTGTGTTACATAGTTTTCACTTATTCAGAAGAAGAGCAGTCACGCACCGAAGTACCCCCCCCCCAAACAGCATTAACAGCCAATTTAATTTAATCTAACCAATTTATGTCATTAGTTACATTTAGAGTCTAATTCCAATTCACATAGAACAACCTATTTTCAACATAATTATGGAGTGGGAATTATTTTCAACTCAAAATATCTTCAAACGAATGAAATATAAAGTAATTAGTGAAGAAAATACATCTGGATAACAGCAGACTTACTGCTCCTAAAATATACGACAGGTCTGGAC